GGGGGGGCAGAGGAGAGACTACCTAGGGAAATTGCTTGGCAGGGCACTTCTTTTCCAGGCGGGGTAGGGGAGAAGAGGGGCTGTGGTTGGCACATGAAAGGGGGAAGAGGGCAGGGAAGTGCCAAAGCGACTTGGACATCGACAGGCAGGGGAGACAGAAGTGTGCGAAGTATGTTGTGAGGAAAAGTTTGACTGAAATGGGAGGACTGCAAAGGGGCCAGGACTTGCAGCTGCCAGCACCAACACATTGCTTTCGATGTGTATTCCTCATTGTGTGCCTTTTTACCCTCTTCTAATCCCTTTCTCTCCAATGAACGTAAATACAAACGTTAATTCCCTCCTTGTTAATTATCCAGCACTGGAATGAGCATTCCAAAGGGCGGGGGAGTGGTTAGGAGGCAAACAATATCCATAGATGTGAAACTGATTACTCTTGTCAATTTTGAATGGAAAGCAGAGTCATGGTCACATGATTTCCCACTTAGTGACTGCTTTGCTTAGTGACCAAGTTGCCGGTCCCAACTGTGGTTGCTAAATGAGGACTACCCATATATGCATTAAAGTATCTCCCTTTTTAGGAACTCCCACCCATCTCTAGCTTTTCTCTAATTAGCTTCTCTTCCCATGATTAAAATGATTGAGTCCTTTTTGAAAAAGCTGTATTTACTGTAGTACACCACATTCCAGCAAATTCTTAAAATACAAACATGTTGCATCAGCCTAAAATACTCACCTTGAATAAGCCACACGCTAAACTGTAGACAATTAACAGACACAACAAATCTTGAGACATGAAAACAGTTTCCCATTCAAACCGAAAATTTTGGAAAACCTATTTATCCATCAATCCAGGAGTCCAAACTGATAGCTGACCAAATTCTAACCTTGCCTTGCACCTCTCCCAGTTTAGAAAAAATTGGCTTTTTTCTATTTTTATTAATATTTATTAAGTTCTAATATTTAAGTAGAAATCAAATTTGATGGCACACAGAAAAAGCAAGTACTGGTTCCAAATAATCTGAAGCCTTGTATAAAGGTCAGAGGAAAGGTGTTAAAACCTTTTACTAGGTTTTGTAGGGATGAAGAAGTACTACTTGGAGTGGTAGCAAAAGCTGATAAATTTACCTGTCCAAGAGCTGCTGGCAAAAGGGTTAAATGAACCAGTGCAGAACGGTAAAAGAACAGTTGCTGGGCTGTGAAGCAAACTAAAATATACTCCAATGTGCTAACAGCACAAGAATAAAAAGTAACACAGTTATTTAAAAAAGCTTTTATAGCTGCCCATATTATGAGCCACAACCTTGGGTAGCTCACAAGAAAATAGAAACAGTAAAAAAATAAACAACATCAATATAAAGTCCTGGCGCCCCAGGACAATATTTCCGCCCCTCCCTCAACGAATCTTCTTATTGGGCTCCAGTCTTATTTGACCCAAATGCTTGTGGGAAGAGTCATCTTTTTAAGACCCTCCAGAAAGTGAGGAGTAGAGGCTTGCCAGATCTCTGGGAGAAGGGCATTCCACAGGGTAGGGGCAGCTATTGAGAAGGCATGCTTCCTAGGTCCCATTAGATGACAACATTTAAGATAAGGGACGTGGAGCGCACCTTCCCCTATCTGACATGGTGAGATGGACAAATACCCTCCCAGAGAGGCAGTTCTGCAAGGAACCTGGTCCCATACCATTTAGGGCTTTAAAGGTAATAACCAGTACCTTGAATTGAACCCAAAAAGCTGGAAACCAGTGCAGCTTACACAGCAGTGTTATAATACCGATGAATTGTGTAATGCCCAAAACTGTGTGCACTGCTACATTTTGGAGCAGTTATAATTTCCAAATGGTCTTCAAGGGCAGCACCATGTACAATGAGTTGCAGTAATCCAGCTGCAGTGACCAGGGCATGACTGATTGTGCTTCCTGGTCCAGGAAAGAGTTTGATTGGTACACGATGGATCTGTGCCATGGCTACCACCTGCTACTGTAGCAAGAACCTTGAGTCCAGGAGGACCCCCAACTTGCGTACTAGCTATGTCCAGGGGACTGCTACCCCAGCAAGAGTCAAAGACACCTCACCAGACCTGGGGGTGGGGGCAAAAACCCAGAGCCACTTCATCTTGCTAGGGTTGAGTCAAAGCCAGTTCTTCCCCATCTGGATCCTTACAACCTCCAGGCACTGGGGCAACACTGGGATAGTGTCATTTGGCCAGCCCATGGTGATGTATAACTCAGTATCATCAGTATATAGATAACCTTGTGCCACCTTGTGCCACCAGATGACCTCTCCTAGCAGTCTGATGTGGATATTAAAGAGGAGAGGCAAAAGACCTGATCCTTGAGGCATCCCATATTGCAGTGGCCTAGGGCTTGATCTGACCACCCCCAACACCAACTGGAATCAGTCACAGAGAAAAGAAGAGAACCACGGCAAAACAGTGCCCCCTACTCCCAACCCTTGAAGCTGGTCCAGAAGGATACCATAGTTGATGATATCAAAAGCCACTGAGAGACCCAGGAGGGTCAGGACAGATGCACCATCCCCATCTTGAGCCCTCCAAAGGACATCCACCAACACAATGAATTCTGTCTCAGTGCTACAGATCGGTCTGAACCCTGACTGGACCCTGACTAAATAATGTTAGCAGATAATGTTCCTATGGGTTCTGAGGCTAAAACACAGTGAAAGCTCAAGAAAATGAAAGGAAAGATTCTTCTGACCATATGAAGCCTATCACAGTGGCAGAGGAAAAAAAAACCAGTTCTTTCATCTGAAGGCTGCTACTTATGTTTGGCTTTGGCTCTTGCTTCTACTGTCATAACACTGTGTTATGATTTGAGGGTAACATATGAGTGGGTGAGAAATAGAAATTTCAAATGATACACATGCACACAGGATTTATATTAATATATGTTTCATATAACACTTTTTGGCTTTCATTGGTGCTGTTTGTTTTTTGGTGTTGCTGTTCTTCCAAATAAATCCTAAAAAATAGTGATTTTTTTTTTTTTGGTTTATTCTACATTAGTTCTTCTGGGTCAGAGATTGCAACTCAAGCCTCTTGTTCTACTAGTGAGCCATATAAATCTATTTTGTAACATGATGCCTATCACCACAGTAAAAAAACATGGTGGGCTATATTTTGCCCAATTTAAGCAATTTAAACGGTTGGAATAGAAACATTTTACCTCACAGAAGCTTTGCACTCCACCACCATCTTTAAAAGTATCCCCAAACCCTAAATTTGAGCAGTGTAATATTTGATTATTTGGGAGGCTATAAACTGGATGCCACAAAGAGTCTATTCTTACTATATCTCACTGGTTCTGAAGGACATTATGCAGAAAAAGAGGCTCTGAAATTGAGTAAAATAAATTAATTAACACTGAATTAAATATCAACATACCAATACATACTGCCAACACATCAAATTAGAATTTAATACACTTAGATATTCATGTTATTCAATTTCTATGATTAGCTACTATAAAGATAGTACCTTAAAAGAGTTTTAAATATTGCACTAAAACAGCATTACATAGTTGTGACTATGTAATCACAACAAAGGTTCCCATTACCTTGGTCAAATTGCTTTTGAATGTTGTCTTGATCTGTTTTATTACCACTAACACGATAGAGACCTTCAGTACACAGACCTTTGGGGAAAGGAAGCAAACATCACAGGATGGTATTTCTAGGTACAATTAAGTCACTCACATAATAAAGAATTCTTCCAACAAAAACTGTATGAATATTAAATATATTGTCTTGATCTGTTTATAATTTATGAGGTCAGAAGACAGTGAAATGCAAAAAATATGGAATGCAATTATAGTTTAAGTTTAAAACTATATGCAGCCACTCATAATCTATAGATGTAATCTAAATAATATTGTGGCAGAAGGTAAAGGTATCTTATTTTAACACATGATAATGTGTTTTGGGAAATGGAAGTACATTTCCTTTCTTTAACTGAAAACTGAAGTAAGGAGCTGATGACCTGGTCTAATTTCATAGGGTACATAAAAAGAGAACTTTGCAATACTGCAAACTCTACAACTTATTACAGATAGTCCTCACTTAATAACTCTAACTGGGACTGAAATTTCCATAACTTGTTTCTTACCTGTATCTTCAATAAACTGCACACACTTCTCAACAAAGAGAGGGATGGGTTTTTCAGGTGTAACCAGATCTTGTAGGGGCATCCCAAAGTAATTACTTTCCCAGTTTCTACGAGTTGGTGGGTTGAATGACTTTGTTTTCTTTTTTTGCTGCAACAAAACAACATTATCAGTCAAGAATATCAGCAATTGAAGTAAAAATTCCCTAATAACTACATGATATTAGGCAATTTTTCACATGACAATGTTAGTTTGAAGGTATTAATTTATATCATTAATAAAAAGAGTAACTGAACTTTTTCACAGTGCCAAATCTGTTTTCAGGGCAGGGATCCTCAATCTTTCTTAAAATATGTTGCAAAAAATAACTAATGGTTAGTTTCTCATTCATAAAACGACTGCTGTGGACAAAATAACCAATTACAAAGTACTGTTTACCTGAATGCTACTTCACATCCTACACCTAAACCTTACTTATGCACTTCATACTATCACTGCTTATGTGTGTGCTTTTGCTGGACAGGTTTATTAATTAATTTAGAAGATTTATGTAGCCACCTAACTTGAGTAATTGTGACTCTGGACAACATACATCAAATATCCCTCCCCCAAAAACAATACTGTATGACAAATAAAAAATTGCAAATGTGTTTAGTTGTGAAAGAAGACTGTGAAAGCTTATTGTAAGCTTTTGCTTTTGGTTAAAGACAAAACAAACCTGCACAATTTGAAATTATAAAACTCATTTTGAATCAATATTCAAGCATGAGCTTACTAGGTGGCTTTTGACTAGTTATTCTGTCTCTACCTAAATCTAATTCTTTCTCCCAGGCTTTTTCTGAAAAAAAGTGGCTGAAATCCCCTAAGTGAACAGCCATGAACTCCCATGGGAAAGATAAGAAATACATGCAATCAGTAAATAATCAAAAGCCGCAGAATATACAAGGAATGCTGCCTTTTATGATCCATTTAATAATGCATATATAGAACATATGAGAAGCAATTATGTTGAGATTTCCTCACACATCAATGCTGTCCCTTTTGAAAACTACTGTAGAAAATCTCAGGTAGGGAGCCAGTTTGGACTAGTGGTTAAGGCACCAGGCTAGCAATCAGGAGACTGTGAGTTTTAGTCCCGCCTTAGGCATGAAAGCCGGCTGGGTGACTTTGGGCCTGTCACTCTCAGCCCAACTCACCTCACCTCAGGGTTGTTGTTGTAGGGAAAATAGGAGGAGGAAGAAGTATTAGGTATGTTCGCTGCCTTGAGTTATTTATGAAAATAACAAAGGCGGGTAAAAAAAAATCTAAAAAAAAGTAATTAAAGATTGAGGTTGTTTTGCATTTTGCTATCACCAAGGGTTTCTTGTGATGTTCTCTATGGACTTGCATAAGTATTTTTAAGTACTACAAAACCTAAAATTCAGAAAACATGCTAAACATGAATGCACTTTTAAAAATGCAAAATAATTCAGGTGTTTTATTGATAAAATTATTACACCTGCTTCCTAAGATCTAATCATCAATAGCATAACTCCAGTTAAAAATGTTTGGTATTCAGAATAACAGACAATTCTTATAAAATATATCTATTCTAATTAAACCTGCTCCCATTGATATGACATATATTCAAAGATAGTAAATTCTCCTTACCTTTTGATATAGAATACAATGCTTCAACTTTCAAAATACACACATACAAGGCATGTTATATAAAAAAAAAATGTATCACACACAGTACCAATGAAATTGTTAAAAGGTTTGTTAAAAAATTGTTATAGCAATAATACCAACAGAAAACAGAAGCCATCTCCACCAGTATTTGTCAAACACCAAAAACTGAAGATTTTACCGACTTAAATATTTTTAATTTTCTGAAGATAAGTACTTTAATAATTGTAAGTTTACTGAACCATTAAAAGGCTATTTGAATAAGCAGTCCTAAATTTAAAGACCTTTTGTCACGCCTACAAAAAAACAGAAAATAAAATACTGACTCATAAATCACCAAATATTTTATGACAACATTCAATTCTATTGAATTTTTAAAAGTTGCATTTTTGATAGTGAATACCTTGATATGTTTTTTTAAAGTGAGTTAAACAGGATTATTATTACATCTATATATGTAATCTCACATGCCATGCAATTTGAAACAATAACTCCTCCAATGTTATTCCATTAACATAAAACAGGGCAAAAAACATTTTTGGCCAAAGGGTGGTGATCTGGAAGCCATAAACATAAAAACAACATCTTCTGTCTCCTTTGCCAAGTGACACATTTTAGTATACAAGGAAATCTTAAAACATTTCCTCCCTGAGATCTTCATTATTCTTTCACCTCAACCAGCAGGTTATATGTATATGTAAGCATTTTATGCAATTTATCTACCATCTCAATTCTCAAGGACACTATGGGGGATACATGATTTAAATGATGTCGATACTACTACTCTCATTTCAGCTGCATTCCTGACAACTCACACAGCTGTTGGGAAACTTAACAGCTGCTCAATTAAGGTAAAGACAGTGCAGGGATATGGCCCATTTGTAAGATTGTATTTTAAGGTACATTTTTAAAAATATATTAATGCTTTCTGAATAAGTATTAGAAATGTCAAGCTACTTAGTTATTGTGTTCCTAATGTCCATGAATTCTTCCTGTGCTCAAGATAAAAAAAGTCTATAAGGAATGTAAAACCTAAAAAGATAAACCCCTTGCTTTATGTAAATCACATTCTTTTATCTCATGCTCTATCAATTTTACTTAATGCATGGCAATTTTAAAATCTCTACAATCAAGCAAAACTCCTAAAAGTACAAGCAATGCCTAGGAGATACTAGAGAATATAGTCTAGACGATGAAATGCTTTTCGCATTTTTAGTCATACTAAGCCATTTCTCCACAGACTAAAAAGTCCCTCTGAACAAATGTGTTTTCAAAACCAAATGTTACAGACACCTCATTAAATATGAAGAAAATTAACTAATACCACATTTAAGAAAATTACCATTAATCCAATTAAACACAAATTGATTTCACTTTTTAAAAAAATAAATCCAACTCCCCTCGTTCTTCAAAACCATAAATGCACATCTAGGTATGGGTTATAATAAATACAAATATATTAAATCTTGGAGAGGTCTTTTTTTCCTATATCCTTTCTTTAAATATTTACATTATACACATTCAGTTAAAAAAACTGGTAATTCAGATGCTGGCCTGTTAATTTCACTGACATACAAAATACGACACAATCTCCTGAACAATATCCAACAATAAAATACCAATAAAAACTTTGCACTTAATACCTGGAACTGACCTTGCTTCTTTAAACAGAAGACAGAAATAGATGATAACCTGAGTTTTGTATTCAGTACCAAGATAATGTAAATTTCAATGTAAAAATGTAAAAATCAAGCAGAAAACAATATCCTAATCAAGGAACTATCGAGGAGAAAACCACACCCCCACTAACACTGGCAGGGCAAGCTACTGTATATAAACAGGGAGCAAACCCTACACTCACTGATGACGTTACCTAGTTAGGTAATGAAATCTCTGAAAGCAAACAACAAAGCTCAGAGAGAACCAAGGACTCCATAATGTAAATTTATTTCCATTGCTACAATGATCACACTTGATCAAAGCCACTATTTACTTTGTACTAGCTACTGAATATAATATTGTAAATATCCTTTGATATAAACATGCACCAAATCTAACTAGAAATACAGTTGATATTCTGAAACAATTCTGCTATGTATTTATGGTGCAAGTAGATAAGTTAAAAGCAGATAAAATTATAGATTTATATTCATAAATTCAAAAGGTAAAATAATGACAAGAGATAAACAATGAGGCGGTAGCTGATATTAGAAAACTGCCATTTTATTCCCCTAAACAGGGGCTGGCTGAATCAAGCTGGAGCAAGTCTAAGACCGCTTCTGATGGCAGTTGCATTGAAGCAGAACCTAGTGACTTTCTTAGAAGTTACTATGGAAATATCTGCTAGTCCGAATTGTACAATCTTGGACTCTCCCAGTAAAGAGTGGGTGCAATAATGTAAATCACCAGTCCTGATTCAGTTGTCAGCGCAACAATGGATAGGTTACTGTTTGATGGCTGCATCTGAGCATATGGAGTTGTGGATCTATATATGGAATGTTACTAAGCTGTTCCTATACAGGTAGTTTTTGTTGTGTCCATAATTGGGACCAGCAACATGGTCAAGTGGTTGCTAAGTGAAACCACAACCATGCTTATGATCTTACTTCAGCTTTCTTTTGCTTTACAGATCTGTGAAGGTTGTAAATGCGAGGACTGGCCATAAAGTTACTTTTGTAACTTTAAAGTTACAAAACTGTAAAGTCACCGTCATAACTGTAAACAATTGCTAAACGAGGCAGCCACTAAACAGGAACTGCCTATACCAGATTCAAGATGTAAAAACTTTTCTGTTTGAGGGATAAAGTATTTTAAAAAGGAAGTTCAGAACAATTAAAAGAATGTGATAGTTTCCTCAAATATAATTTGGAGCTTCAGATCCATCAGCTTATAAATCAAGCTCAAGAAAGTGTCGTTTAGCCTTAAAAATAGCTATCTCTAGACACACTGGTAGCACTTGAATTTAGAGGCCACAGAAGGAACAATCATTACCTTCATGAGTTAAAAAAAAGTTTTTTAACCATGAGAAATTAAATGTATCCATAAGAACAAGTTGGGCCAGTGAATTACTTCCATAGTAGAGTTTCAACCATTATTCATTTTCTTACCTGGGCAGCTATTGAAGGAGATCCTAATTCAAGTCTCAGTAGAGTGTTGGGGATAGAGAAATGAAGGGACATAGAGAATGATTCTCTAAATTTAGACTACAGTGCTTCTAAAGGCTTTGGATTTTGATTAAAAGAGAATTACATATAATAAAACAGAGGTATAACCACGTTGTTTCTGAACAGTTTAACTGTCATGGCAGCAAAGTGTTACCTTTATGACTTACATATCTAATTATCTTATTTGTGGCCCTCTATGCACAACATACTTTGCAGATCTGCTGATTCCATCAAAAAGACAAATGGAAGGTGATACCTAAATATTTAAAGCACTTAGTTTGCACCATCTAAATGCCATTAATGTTGGCAATGAAAATGTCTTTTTGTAAACAGGACTACCTTCATTTGGGCATACTTAATTGTAAATTTTCTTGGTAGCAGAAGCTACCTAGAGCTTGCACACTTTTCCAGAGACCTACTTGAGACAAGGAAAGAATAACAGCAGTAGCAGCAGATAACCAAATGGTGATCGGTGTATATGTTACTGTTGGGGATTGAAACTTGCTACTTACTATATTTTACTACTAAATATACATTTTATTATTTATATATATACACACTATAAAACCTATACTATGCAATTAAAATAAAGATTGAATAGTACTTTCCTGAATACTTTCCAAGAATACTTTCCTGTTTTATACACTTTGTGATGATGATAAGGTCAGTGAAGGCACTATATGCATCACATTTTACTTGTGTACAAATATTTTCCTCAAGTAGCATGATCACTTGGAGTAAACAGCAATCAAATGAGGTCTCTGGCAGTTTCCCACACAGCCTCCCAGGATTGTATCACATGTTATCTTCAAATCAATGAAGACAGCATATGAGATCCATGCAGCTGAATGAATTTTTTTTTGGCAAGATGGTAGAAAATGATACGTTGGTTAAAGGTTAGATGGACAGATATAAAGCTAGCTTGATACACTGCTAAGATCTTCTCTTGAAGCATCCAATCAAGAAGTTTGTTATAAGCATACAGAATATAGTTTGTTAACTATACTTAATAGGTTTAGTGGACAGTAGTTGGATGGGTTATACTTACTGGCTTTTTAAAAGAAAGTAATAGTTATGGAATGACTCGTCTTTTGGCAGTTGCACTGACAGATCTGTGAGTATAAATAAGGATGCTAACATGACAGTTTGGGAGGCATTTGATCATCCCCAGCATTTTTTGAGTGGTAAGGCTAGAGATTTCAGAGGTGGTTATTGTAGACTGTTCAGGCAATGAGTTAAATAAGATTGATCTTGAACCTAGTTCACTGGCCTTTATATTAAACAGGACATGATAGTGATTTACATCACTACTTCTAGTGAGATCACTTTTTTGGTATCACAACTATGCTTGGGAAAAGAATTAGTGATCAAGCACCAGAAAGTAATGGAATATTTTTCCTGAGCAGCACATACATATGACCACAATAGGGACTGGAAAATTCATCGTTAAGCAGTGCAGTTGTTAAGCGAATCATGTGACCGCACCTGATTTTACATTTTTTGCAGCAGTCATTAAGATAATCACCGCAGCTGTTAAGTGAATCATCATGGTCATTAAATGAATCACATGGTTCCCCATTAATTTTGCTTATCAGAAGCCAGCTGGGAAGGTTGCAAATGGTGATCAGGTGACCCCGGGATGCTGCAACCATTGTAAATACATGCTGGTTGCCAAGTGCCCGAATTTTGATCATGTGACCATGGGGACACTGCGACAGTCATTAAATGCAAGGACTGGTTGTAAGTCACTTTTTTCAGCACCGTCGTAACTTTGGTTGCTAAATGAATGGTTATAAGTAGAGAATTATCTGTCCCAGTTTGATCCCATTCTGCTTTTTGATTTTCTAGTTTAGTCCTTTTTATGAGACTTGCCACTTTCTTAATAGTAAGAGAAAAAAACTAGTCCAATGGGCTGATGAATTTGACTTAACAACTTTAAATGGTTCACTGCCAAATTATTTTCTTGGAGAATTTACTTTCTGAGATCTCTTGGATGCCACCACAATCAACTGTGTTCTAAATTCAAACATGCTTTTTGCTAAACTTATGCTTTTAAGGCTGCTTCATACCCTAACAGTGACAATTTCTCTAAACCACAGTTCAGTAAGGAACAAGTACAAGCCAAGCTCAATTAGTCAAAGCTACTAAGGCTGCAAGAAGCAGAAATGGGCCCTTTTATATCATATAGTTTATATCATTCTGTTATGCTGACAAACTTGCATTTATGTCTCGAAACAGCAACACCATGAATGTATGCAAAGTATTTTTAAAACTTACTTTCTTGTCTTCTTTCACTTTCTGAGTTTTCTTCTTCATCTTTTTATCATCCAGCTCTTGATCAGATGTAATTGCAGGGTTATCAATGCCACCTTTCCATGTTTCCACAGGGGATAAAAGTGGGTCTTCTTCACTGCCACGATGTCTTCCTTTTCTTTTTGTTTTAGACATTGTAAAAGCTTCATCATCACTTGCATCTGAATGTGCTCTTCTATAATAAGATTTGGCTTTGCTGAACAATGTTTTAGATTTATATTTATATTTTGAAGGTCGCCTTTCTCCATGGGTCTTTGAAATTCTGTCAGGAAATCCATTTTCTTCATCTCCTTGGGCATTATTTATAATAGAAGAATTTCGAAATTTAATCATACGATTCTGACTATCATCTGGAATTACGTAGATATCATCAGCAATACCTCTGTGCTTAAAAATAGTGTCTATAGGTTCTGCATAATTATCAGATTGATCAAGATCATCAGATGGTGCCAGAATCATTCTAGTTTGCTTTCTGGGATATTGTTTACCAATACCTGCCTCAATGGTTTTTAATAGATTTGGATCCAGTTTTTTCACATTTGCCTTGGGTACAATTGGTTTTGGCTTTATGGGAGGAGGCACTTTGTGGTTGCGTTCATGATCATGACAATTAGGTGTGCTATGAATGGGATATTCGTTACCTTCCACATCCAAACGGTATTTTGAGCGATCAGGTGTTGGGAGCAACTGTACATCATCTCCAATTGGACTATAAGGAGGTGGGGCTTCAGTATCATCTTCTGAATCTGGATAATAGTTATAAGCAAGAGAACTTGCTCTAGGAGAATGCAAGAAAACATCTTCACTTGTATGTGTTGTCTCCCGTGTACTATCAGAAATATAAGAATTTTCAATCATGTTTTTCTTCTCTAAGACTTCACTAAAGAACAAGGTGAAAACCTCAGTCTGACGGTGATACTGAGATAATGAATATAGAGCTGTAAATTTAGCAGTAATCTCAGTCGCTATATGTTCACCTTCAGTCATCAGTTCTTTGATAGCCTCATTCTCAAAGAAGTCTGCCTGACTGTCAGTAACAGCTACTAATTGGACAGGAATAGTATCTTGTACTTCTGAAAGAAATGCTCGAAGCATTCCCATAGATGCTTTCCGTTTAGCAGAATAAACTAGTATATAGCCATGAACAAGTTCATCTTTTCTTACACCAATTGAAGAATGATATGATAATATTGTAATTTGTATTCGCCTCCGTTTTTCACCTATAATTTTATCCAGCATTAGGGAATTATTCTGACCAGCCTGAGCAGCACTACAGGAATGAGAATCAAGGAATGGAGAAAGAATAAGATCTACACTGAATGGATCTCCACACATAGCACACATAACAATTCTTAAGTCAGCTTCTGAAAGGTCTTTAATTGTAGGAATAGGACTTACAACATCAAAATTGTGCTTAACTGCATCCAGGACACTCCTCAATGCTTGCTTTATCTGAGCCTCATTAAATTTACGTGGATAAGTACCAGCGGGCACATCTATAAAAGGACACTGCAACTTGTTTGCTAACTGCTGTCCCTGGTGTCTCAAAATTGGTAAATTTTTGCTAATACTCTCTCGCTGATTAGCCAATATTAAAGTAAATGGAAGGTTGGCCATATACTTGTCTCTTCTTATCTGAGATGCTTCAGTCCTGATTTTTCCAATGGATTCACCAATAAAATTAAGTGATTCAATTGAATTAAACACACAGAAATATCCGTGTGGTTTGAAGGCTGAAGTCCATAACTGGCTTAGAAGATAAGGGGATTTAGCATCAACTGGTCTGAGATCAAGTTCATATATTTTTCCATCTAAGGCATATTCATCATCAGTAGACTGTGTCCGAATCTCATTTGCCAATTCTTGTGCAAGACCATCTTTACCCAAAATGAAAACATTAATTTTATCGATGTTGGCACTATCATGATAGAAATTTAAACGACCATGGTCCAATTGCAAGAGGCTTCTAGCAAGTAACTGTTCCACTTTAATGTCCATACAGCTTTGGCCACTGAGACACGTTTCTTTAGTGGGATGATACACAAAACCTATATGTTTAAGCAGAAGTGACTCCCTATCAGGTGCAAGTTTCTGTAAAGCTTTGTATCTAGGCTCTTCACTAAGAACTGCATGAATTTCACTCATTTTGTCAGAACTAGGTGTTGCATTCAAATCCAGGTCATAGAAGAGTTCTGAATGTTCAAAAAGCATTTCCTGAAATTCCTCTTTGGCTTTTTCGACTATTTCCCGTTGATGTCTACTATATACTTCTTTACTGTCAGCTTCTGTAATATATTTAAAAGCTTCATCTTCCATTACGAAACACATAACTTCCTCCCAGGGTTGCCCAGGAGAAATAAATTGAATTTTTTCAAGTGTTTTTTTGAACTTTTCCTTCATTTCAACTCTCCTTTTTTCTGATATTAAATGCTGCACATGATTTTGATATACCTTTTCAGCTTCAAGTGTGCTCAAAAGGTCAAATGGAATTCTCCTGTCATTCACTTTATCTATGTGGTCAGTTTCATACCAGGGCGTTTTTTCCAGGACCACAAAGAATAAGTGGAAATCTTGTGTTTTTTCCATTAATTTCAAAGCTTCAGGCCAACTCAAATGTTCAATCTCTTCAAGGTTTGACAGAAGTGTGTTAAAAGCTCTTGGTAATGTATTAATATATTCATCTCTTCTTTTTCTTATATGCTCTTGCTTAAGCTGTTCAATGTGTTTTGAAAATGTATTTTGGGCCTTGTTTGTTCCCTCTAAATTAATGTAATCCTCATAATCTGGATGATTTTTCAGTTTGTTACTAACAGTTTTCCATGTGGCATGATAGTCTCTCACAGTCTGCACAAGTTTCTCAAACTTATCTGTTGATGTCACAACAACTTGCCTTTGTGTTTTATAGGCATCTAAATAAGGGATTATTTTAGGCTTGCCACGGGTTTTATCCATCATTTGTACCAGTGCAGTGAAACATGTCTCCACATTGACATTGAATCTCGCAGATGTTTCTACTACAAGAAGGTTCTTCTTATTTGAAGCAAATGCCTGAACCTCTCGTAAATAATGTTCCACACATTCATCACATTTAGTTGCTGCTATTATTATAGGTTTTTTAGATTTTGAAAGCTGAATATAGAGGTTATTTACAAATTTAAGTTGGTCATCAAACTTCCTATTACATCCTTGACTTACATCAATACATAATAAAAATCCATCAATACTTAGCTTCCCTTCAGGCATTTGCTTTTGCTCAAAGTCTTGTTCTAATCCAAGCTGATCTGTGCAAATATACATAAGTTTTTCTGCTGACTGCAATTTGGTTGCAGCTGCACGCTTTATATAAGGTTGTAAGTTCGTACTACGATGAGGCAGAAATGTCTGATCATCAATGAACTCAGTCTGTTCAATAACATGAATTTTGCAATCTACTCCATCCTCTCCACACTGTATTACATCACCCCAATATAAAAAGTGATCATTATTAACAACACGACCACCAAAGTCAATTGTGCTAAGCACAGAGGTATGTTCAGGGTAATATTCATCTGCTTTTGAACGCACAAATCTATTGCACAAACATGACTTTCCAACTCCACAGTTTCCTTTGTCTTTTTCGGTCCCAGAAAGTCCAACCACACTAACAGCATAGGCTGGGGGACGAGGCTCTTTGTTCTTTGCCATCATAGTGTTCTTCTCATCCTTCTGTATTCACCAACACAATTGGGTGCAATGTTCATTCTTAAAAATGACTCCACGTACTAAAATTTTATCTCCAAGGTTCAAAATTATTTTCAGTTCTTGAATCCTCATGCTTGCAATAAACTTGGGTGCTCCAGATCAATTGATCCATGATTCTGAAAGAAAAAGGAAAGGCAGTATATCAATTACAGTTACCCAAAGTTTAATTTTAAATACTGAAATAAATTCCAACAGACATACCCAATACTTTTAAACAAATAACAGTTACAGTACTTTAAGTATTCTTCAAAATTATCTGCCAGAATGCATACAGAATAATTTTCTATTATTGGCTGAACTGTAAGGTTTGTATAGCTCTTTAAGCAAACAATTAAAATGCTCTAATTTCATTTTAATACCAAATTAATACCTAATATGGATTAAGAGATCTAATTTTAAGCACCATTACTTCAGTGGTTCCTTTCAATTGTTACCCATTATCCAATGAGGGCAATCCCAACAAATAAATAACGATATGTATTGTCGAAGGCTTTCACGGCCGGAATACGATGTATTCAAAACTTCCAGAACACGGCCACACAGCCCGGAAGACCCACACCTGCCATCAAATAACGATATATTGGACCATTGTTCTGGACTGAATTCTAAGCAAGCCTAATATTGTTGTTTTAAAAAGAATAATCAATAGTCAACAGTGTACATATGAATTTTTTGCACTGACTGCATGAATTAAACATGATCATATAACTATATATTTAACACAGTTAATGAAATATTTGGATTAGAGTATTAATTACAGCAATTTCAACCGATCAACATAATCACATTTAGCATTAGAAACTAAACTATGTCTCAATAAAAATGTTTTAGTATTGTTGACTTCTGTCTTCCTTCAAAAGAGAAAATGAGATTTCAAAAGATCACAGTATTGAGCAACTAGGTAAAAACAAATTTAAGTCTATTTTTTCATATATAGGTCATAATTCACAAGCTCAGTTCATAACAGACTTCCTATTATCAGCAATCAAAAATTTTGTTTCCATTTCTATAGTAGTTATGGAACTGCTTTTCTGAATTTTAATTACTATATTAAAAGATCATCGAGTTGGTCTGTTTTAGAAGATATTAGCAAGAACAAGCTTGTTAATGAAATTATCCAAATAAATTACATGTACTAAAGTCACTGTGGAATCTTTCTAGCTTCTGCCAAATATTTTCAGTGAATAGCTGTAATTTTAGAAATGCTTTGTATCTTTCCTGCTCTCCTTTTCCAAAAGAAAGAATTAAAGTCTCATGCTAATATTCCATGTTAAAGATTTATAGACTATATATATTCATTGAAAATAAACAGAAAATCTGCATTACATTTCAAATCTATGAATAATATTTTAAGTAGTTTACTGGCAAGTGCAAATCTTGTTTAATTGGTTAATGAATTCTTGAAAATGGGAAAAAATAGCAGAATTCAGAATTCGTTTTATCCGAGCAGCAAAAAAAGAGCTGTGTTTTTCTGCTCATGGAAGATGTGTTTGGAACTAATCTATGGAGTTTCAAACTTTTCAAGCTTGTATATGTGTTACTGTCTATGGGACACAAAGCAGATTTTCAATACTGAAAACTAAAATGATGGTTTTAAATTTGTCACTTATCTACCTTGGTATATATACTATAAACAAGGACTTAGAGCAGGTTTTTAGCTGATTAGAAGCATATTTTTCAATTCCCATCAAAATCATCCTAATTTTAAACTTCTTGGCTGTGTTTCTACAAACCTATAGGCATAAACTGAATATGTACTGCAAAATTTCTTTAGTGTGTACACTAACTTCCACTGTCATAAACACAGAATAGCCTTCAGTTCAGAAATCTTATTTCTTTAGAGGCTATACAGGCAATTACATGAAAAAATTACCAAAAGAAAAAGTTTATTAAGTACTTTTACATGCTTAGTGCTTATTTACATAACTATGTAATTTATTTCCAGTATAATTTTATTTATATCTATTAAAATATATTGAATCAAATTTACTAATCAATAGTTCACAATCAATGTTCCCCTTTCTTTTACAATGCATTTTAAATAAATAGATATATGCTTGTGGCATAAAGTAGTAAAAGTTTGTGGACCCTTTAGGACTATCCATAATCCTGCAAGACTATGACCTCCAATGTGATCACAACTGCATTTAATCTTATTAACAGATAAAGAGATTCTGGTTAAACCACCTCTAAAGCTGCATACCATATTCTGTCTTTATCAAGGACATTGAGCCAGCTTATTTTTTACTCTAGTTTGTTATGGTAACTTCATATTATATTTTTAGCTTACTGGTTTTGTAACTACATTTTTATCATGTTAGCTTTTTATATTTCAGCATTAACTATGAAGGCTTACATTGTAGAAGTGTGTGCTTTTAAATTATGCACAAATAACTAAGTACTTCAGTGTGTGTTGGTAGGTAGGGAAATAGTTCTTTTTCATTTTTAAATGAATTACTAGAGAACAATTATTGTTTAGTTTCAATTTGAAATATCTTTTTTCCTAGGAAAATACTGTTGATGAGTTGTGTTCATAGTTCAGAGACTAATTGCCATATTTGTAGTCAGGAAAGATAGATAAAGCTTCCTGTATGACAGATGGCTTAGTGACCATGGAGGGGTGTTTGTCTTCCTACGCCGCATGGAGTGTTTTTATTAAAATGTATTCCTTAGTCTTTAGCAAGGTACAGCTTGCCCATTTGCTCTCAGACTGTGAGCAGATTAGTCAATAGAATTCAGAATGTTTGGCAACAGCCTTGCTTTGGAACAACTGCAATATGAATTTAGCTTTAGGAACTTCCAATCTTTGTGGCTAGTGGGCATATTTAGAATTTTTGGTTATCTCAAAATAACACTCATTTGAATACAAATGCATATAACAGAAAAACAAACTAATGAAAATTAAGGGGAAGTCATTTATTCAATTATTTGAGTCCAAATCAAAGATAGAATCTCAGCGGTCAAACACAAAGTCCTTCTCTAAACCCAGAATTCTGATTTAGTAATATATTTTACCTGTACCTCTCACATCCCAGCATCTATAGACCCACATTCATAGTATACAAAATCCATTCAGGTCAGCTGTTTCTGTTTCAGGAACATATAGTCTAATCTCGCTCATTCTTTCTCTAATACCATACCTATACACACATACACTTTTAAAATATATACATGCACATTTTCTTCCTCTTTTTGACTGCCTCATAGTTCACAACCACATCATTCTGCCAGTCTTCTCACTTCCTCCTCCTTTGTCACCCCTAGCAATGGGGGTCATGCCAAGCCATCCATGGTGACGAAGGGCTCAGTCTCTTCCTTCCTTTTGAATTGGGGCAGGAGAATGTGATGGCAACCACAAATACTTCAGAGCAAAGCATGGGTTTTCAACTGCTTATCATGTCATTTTACTTTTAAAGAAGTTTCCTTAAGGTATTATGTGAAATAAAGTTGGCAGACAACTGGAAGCCAGTGTTTCATACTAAATCACATCCACCCAAAGTAATATTTAAAATTAAAATAAATCAGATATTAATAAGACCTTTCACAATACCTGTGAGATGTTTCAAATATTATTTTTTTTAAAACAAAGAGGAATCTTAATGATTTATAATGAAAATCTATACAAGCATTCCTTAAGAATGGTCATACATATTTTGCTTTCCTGCTAAGTTTTTACATGACTGAATCAGATTATAAGGGGAAAACATACTTGAGCATTTAAAAAAAGGGAGAAAATCATCAAGGTAGCATGTTACAGGCAAAATTAAGACATCACCTGCCCCTCCAAGCAGCCCATTTTTATCACCACAAGCCATAAAGGGAACATAAAATACAAGGCCTGATTTTTCCATGTCCTATTCCCTCCAACCCCATTCACTTTTTTTTCTTTTTAAGTCTAAGCCTAAAGTCTTATTTTGATTTTGTTATTTTATAAACCATTATTTCAAGCAGAAGAGTGGAATATGAAGAGAATTGTATTTTCTTAAATTAATACAGTATTTAAAATGGGAGGGTCATCTGACATTTGCAATAATGGAGGAAGTTGGCATTATTCTTCTGCATAATATTCCTCTTTTTAGAGGAAGGGTCATCTTAAATTTGAGGCTACCTTTAAAGAAACAAAAATAAATAATGGCTTAATGTGGAATTATGTTCAGATTTTGTTACAATTACATTCTATTTCCCTTGCATTTTTTTCATTTCAGAAAATTGAACACCCATATTTTGAGATAATCCCAAATAAAAACTTTCTCAATCATGGGGAATGCTACTGTCAAATAACTACGGCCATCTCCCTGTTCAGAGATTCTTATTCTGCTGCAAGGTAAAATAATGGATTTTTAAAGCCTATTTCTAATCTCTTCCAGGGACAAATCTACTGATTTTTATTTCTATTGATCTGTATAGGATTTCAAGGAAATTATCTTCATTGACTACATTTAAAAAAAGAAAAATGGGATGTCAGTCTCATTACTTGATTTCTGCATATACATTAACCACCAAGTCTATACTGAAATATTAGATGTGCATTTGGCTGCTTTATTCATACAAGCTCAATTTGACCTAAGGGGAGAATTATAAAAATCCTTAATTTTTTCATCTGAATTTGTAAGTAATCCTCCCCTTCTCTATCACAAAGGAAATCAAAACAGAAGCATGTTTAACTCTGCCCCAGTCTTCTTCCCAAGTCAACAAGTCACAAAGTTCTATCACTTTTCTTTTTTGCTGTTCTTTTCCTGTTTACATATTTA